TCTGTAAGTCGATATATGAAATTTTGAGAAATTGCAAATGAACTTGTCAAATTTTAAGAGATAAAATATCTTGATTTGTTTAAATTTTAATCGAAATTATATAAAAATTTATTAATTTTTAAAATAAATATTTTGTTTTAAGAATACAAATATTATTAACAAAAATAATAAAAAAATTAAAATATTTTTTAATTTAAAAAATGTTCTTATATTTTTTAAAAAATAAAAAAATAATACTCCCAAAGCCCTAGTGCTCCCAATGAGTAGTGTTTTTTAATTAATAAAAAAATTAAAAAATAATAAAATTATATAATACTAATTATAAAAATTAAAAAATAATAAAATTATTTTTTTATCTCAATTATGTCAGCAAGTTAACGAAAATGGTATTGATTAGATTTATATATCCAACAAAAAATATTTTTTTAAAACAAGAGTATCGGTTTCTAAAATTAATAAATTTTTATTTAATTTCAATCGAAATTCAAACAAGTTAATAAGGGTATTTTATTCAATTTCAAAAGTTTCAACTTTACTTCTCTTCGTGTCTAAATGAATTTTTACTTAACATTCATTCAAAATCTAGCTCTTTTGCAATGTATTTTTGCTGTTTGTCTTCTTAATTTTCAGTTGACTATAAGTTTTTCTTTTTTCAATTTATACATTAATGCAAGCCATTCATGTCAAATGGAACCGCAAATGAAAATGGTTAAGGCTGAAGGTGTTGGTTCAGAATCACCGAGTGGTTTGGAACGTAAAGATCATTTCAGTGTTATTAGGCATGGGAAGGGTCAGATACCCTGACTTGTATGACTGAAGACAAATTTTCAACTCAAAATTAGCAATTGCTCAAAGTGGAAGAAAGGAATATAACATTGACGGACTTGACCGTAATTTGGTTGCCTCAATAACTCAAAGGTTGTATCTAGGGTATTATTTATTCATTTTAAGGGTTCATTTGGTAGGTGGAAAATAATTTGCTAGAAGAAAATTTTTTCTCTATAAAATATTTATAAGAAAATTTATTATTTTCTGTTATTTAGATAAATTATTGAAAATATTTTCTGTTATTTAAATCATTTTATGAAAAATATTTTTCATCATAGTAGAGTTATTTAAGTGTTAAAATAATAAATAGAAATTGATTACAAAATAATATTAATATTTGATTTTTACTAATTTGGGATCAAAATTTAAAATGAAAATGAAAATGGACAAAATCAATAAAGATATTTTTCAAAGCATTAACCACATATATGTAATAAAAATAAGCTCTAATTTTCAAAAAAATTTCTATCTTAACACTTTTTTATCATAACTATAAAAATATAAATATTCATCAATTATGTTAGATATCCAAAATCTATACTTATAAATATGTATTAATTAAATGACAATTGTTGAAATATTTTTTATTATAATTATTAGTAAGGTTTAAAACTAATATAAATGTGTATTTATTAAATGATGATCATTGAAATATTTTTTATTATGATTATTAGTAAGATTTATTCCATTTATAAATAAAAAATTTAATTATATTGAATGGTTTCATTAAAAAATACTTTTTTAATTTTAATAGTATTGTTTAATTTAAATATTAATTTTTTAATTTTTAATATTTTAAGTTAGATATTAATATTCATTAAATTTATACTTATAAACTTAATATAAAATTATTTTTGTTATTCTCTGAAAAATGTCTTACGCGTGATTAACCCTACTCACTTATAAAATATTTTACATCTAAAATTAATTTTTCATCTTCCAAACAAGTATAAATCTTAAAAATATTTTTTAAAAAATATTTTACTGTAAAATAAACGAATCCTAAAAAACACTCTTAAGTCATAATACATTATGTTGTTATACGAAAAATGCTAAAGTTGAGATTTTGGGTACCTTTTTTATTATGTCACATGTAAAAGTGCTTTGAATAAGGTAATTCATGCCTCTTCATCTGTGTGCTATTAACTAGTTTTGCAACTTTTCACCAATTCTGCATTGATTCAACACTAATTTATACCTTGAATATAAAATAATTTTTTGTATATTTTGTAATGAATTATATAAAATATTAATTGGTAGCATGACATACAATGATACCATATATGATATTATTATGGTCAACTAGTATCTACCTTGTTTGATGGCTACTTCATAATAAAATATATTATCAAATTATTTAAGTATTCAAAATAATCTATTAACAAAAAAATAATTTTCAAACTATATGTCAATTATTTAAAGTAAATGTGGCTTTCTGCCCAACGTAGTTAATTTCTTTTCACATCATCTGTCTAGTTCGATTTGTATAATCTATGATACTAATATATACTTGTATAATCAGGGTACCATTTGTAATTGAATTTGTTTTAAACTTCTTTTCTTAAATTTTGAGAGATGGATTAAGAATAGAGACTCTTTTTAACATTATCTTATTTTATTTTCTCAATAATTGACAAAACATCTCGCATAAACTCGATTCTATTCATTAATTATTCAAATTAATTGAAACCTGAGCGGGAAACATGATACTGGTAGTAAACAGGTTAAATTCATCAATTCTTACAATTTCCCAATAATAATCGTGGTTTGTTTTGTTTAGAATAAACGATTGGTTTGATTGAGAAAGACAATGAAAAAAAAAGCTTACTTGTAGGCGGGGGCGGCTCCCGCTATTTGTGAGAAATGTAGTGGCAAGGTAGTAATTAAAAGGAAGGAAGCAAGGAAGCAAGCAAAGCCGTTGGCGTTGGATTCAGACGAATAAAACCCAAAAACCACCCGAGTCGGGGGATACTAAGATTACAGGCCCCGAACAAGGTTGGAATCTTCCTGCGACGCAAAAAAATTTTCTTGGCCTTTAAGGAACCAAACCCCACCAAAATTCAAAACACAGCTTTCCACATTATTCGTGCCTGTTTTCCTTATCATTTGATACCAAATCAATCTCGCGAATGAGGCTTCTTTTGTGTTTCCTGTTACTCCTAGCCTCTGCTTTCTCCACCTTCACCGCAAACTACATGTCGGACGCCGAGAACAGCGCAATCATGCTCTCAACTTCGCCGACTCCGAGAGTCGGAGGAAGATCGCTCTTATATCTCCCGTGAGTTTTTCTTTTTTT